TCCGCCGTCTGGATTTTTTGATGCTTTACTCTCCTTCAGTCCATGAACACGCAAATATACCAATGGGCCACTGCCGATAGGCTTTGATTTGGCGGAACGAATGTTGGCGGAGCTGGTGATGCGAGATGCCAACTGTGAATTTTCTCCGTTGTTTAGGTGCTTGATCATGGTCTGCGCGGCTCTCGAGACTCCTCGGGAGTTTGTTCCTCTTGCACCAGACCGGGTCGATGACATTTTGGAATCAGCAGATGCCCCTCCCCTTGGGCGGCGGGTGGCTGAAGTTCCCATGTCTAGGTCTCCATCGGTATCGATGCGCGTGGAGCCTGCTCGACGTTTTTGGATCCCCCCTCTCGATGTCGACTTTGAATTCAGTGCAGAGCTCCGGGTTTCTCGTCCAGCCGAGGCCTGGGACCTGGATCCGCGTGGGGCCATCTTGCTGATTGAGGTCGCAAATCGTGCTGATGCGCTGGAGGGCTTGAATCGACAGTTTGCGCGGTAGGTTCGCTGCACTCGAAAAAAGGAAGAAATCCTATATCCCGTGTTGCAAGCGACCTGGGCGACGATATCGATCCAAGAAGGAGTATCGGTACGATGAGGGGAGATGTCGCGACTGCACTTTGGGTCGAGATTCGTTTGGACAGGGATCAAACTTTGAATGCGAGAAGAAGAAAAGTGGCTTGAAGGCCGAGAAGATATCCTTCCTGACAAAGAAATACAACAAAGAAAAGGGAAAGAAGCACTTTGCAAGGTGGATGAAGGTGCTTTGACTGAGGTATGAAGAAAGCAAATGCAAAAAGCGTGTCGAAGTGGGCGGGCCGCAAAGTTCAGTGACGTTCAGGTTGATTGACTGGGAGCAGCAGCAAGTGGTCTAACCGAATTGGGATGTGAGTCACACTCGAAATAGACTAGTGTGGCTGGATTACGTTATTGTCGATACTTGGTTCCTTTTATAGGTCAATGCTTGAATAGGAACAATGCCTGCAAGTAAGGAATGAATGGGAAAGCCCAGAAAGAATTACATAGAAGAGAAAGGTGACGAGAATATAGAAAGCCGATATTTAATATAGTGAGTCCGATTCACATTTCTGACAAAGTACTGTAGGGATATCACAAATGAAGGCTGTGTTGCCCCGTGTGGAAGACTGGCTGCCTAACTCTTTAGGCTGCAGTCTGCCTAAGATGTACACGTGACCTGGCATTTGTTTCGCGCGTCCTAGTCCACTTTTAGCGCATCAACACGCGTTGATGGGAGTGTCCCAGAAGGTATCTTTGTAGATGCAGCAATTGAAACGTTTAGAAACTGCAAATCGGAAAAGAATTCTTAAATTAAACACCGAACTTCCCTTTTCTCGGTTTATTTTTTTCTCTCTTAGAAAATCCCAACGAAAAATTGTTATTGGAATGCCGACAATGTGAAGGAGCGTACAAGCCTACAGGACGTTGACCACTTGTGGCATTTTACCACACAACATGGATAGCGACGAGTTTGATGATGGCCTTGCTGATGAGGACCTCATGGAGGTTCTGAACAAAACCTCCTCTTCAGCGCATCACCGGAGTTCTGCAGGACCGACCTCAAGTGCCGCTATCGCTGCCGCTGTTGCAGAGCTGGATGACTTACCGTCCGATGCATTCTCATCCCCAGAGCCATTTCAGAAAACCAGCTCGATAACCAATAACTCTAGGGCTTCACAGCCTCCACCGAGAACTGGGTTAAATCGTTCAACCTCCTCGATGCTACGGCAGACCACGCTATTTGGTGGGCAAGCGTCTACGGGTAATGAGCCCTGGTTGTCCCAAACACAAACCACGAATGCAAGAGTTTATCGTGTAGATCTTCCACGAGAAGAGCCGACTCATCACGAACTTGAAAAAGAGGCACTGCAGACTTGGGTTTACCCTACCAATCTTGGTGCTATCCGTGACTATCAGTTCAGTATTGTGAAGAACAGCCTGTTTAACAATACACTGGTTGCTTTACCTACTGGACTTGGAAAAACGTTTATCGCTGCTACCGTTATGTTGAACTTTCACCGGTGGACGAAATCTGCCAAGATTGTATTTGTTGCTCCGACGAAGCCGCTTGTCGCGCAGCAAATTGATGCATGCTACAATATTGCTGGGATTCCACGCTCGGAAACGACATTACTGACTGGAGATGTAAACCCGGCAGTGCGAGCGGAGGAGTGGGAACAGAGGCGTGTTTTCTTCATGACACCGCAGACACTCATGAATGATCTCTCCCATGGATACGCCGACCCCAAAAAAATCGTGCTTCTTGTGGTGGATGAAGCACACCGCGCTGTTGGCGAGTATGCCTATGCAAAAGTTACGAAGTTCATTCGCCAATTTTCCAACAGTTTGAGGGTGCTCGCATTGACCGCTACACCTGGGTCAAAGGTCGAGACAGTGCAGGAGATCATAGATAATCTGGGCATTTCACACTGCGAAATACGAACTGAGGAGTCCATTGATATTCAGCAATATGTTCACCAGAGAAATATCGACCAGCAGGTTCTGGATCCATCCGAGGAGATGGTTCACGTTAGTGACCTCTTCACCAAGGCTCTTCAACCGTTGGTGGACAAGCTCAGCGCACAAAACGTCTACTATGGGCGCAACCCGATGGCGCTCACAGCTTTTGGTCTCCTGCAAACCCAAAAAGAATGGTTCGCCACAAGAGGGAGGGGCGCGAACCAAGGCTTGCAAGGCATGATGAGAGCCATCTTTAGTGTATTGACGAGCATTGCCCACTCTATTAAACTGCTCAATTTTCATGGGATAAAACCATTCTACGACAATCTGAGCGACATGCGTAAAGAACAGGAAGCGCAAGGGCAGAAGGGCTCCAAGTACCGCCGGCAACTCATCAATGACCCCAGTTTTCAAGAAATGATGGACATTATTTCTAAATGGCTTCGTACTGATGGGTTTGTGGGCCACCCCAAGCTTACAGCTCTGGCTACTTGCGTCCTCAACCATCTTGTTGATACTGGCGAATCAACCCGCATCATTGTGTTCAGTGAATATCGAGACTCGGCAGAGGATATTGTTCGGATGCTTAACAAACACCGGCCGCTTGTCAAAGCCAGCATCTTTGTTGGGCAGGCTGACGGGAAGCGTGCGGAAGGAATGAAGCAAGCACAGCAAATCGAAACGATCGAGAAATTTCGAAGGGGTGATTTCAATGTGCTTGTGGCTACTTCGATCGGTGAGGAAGGATTGGATATCGGACAGGTCGACTTGATTGTTTGCTACGACTCGTCGGCCTCGCCTATCCGAATGCTCCAGCGCATGGGTCGTACAGGCAGAAAGAGGGCCGGTAATATCGTTCTTCTGCTGATGCGAGGAAAGGAAGAGGAGCAGTTTGCGAAATCCAAAGACAATTACGAAAAGATGCAGAAACTTATCTGCGAGGGAAGTCGGTTTAATTTCCGGTTCGACCTTTCAAAGCGGATCCTACCAAGGGATGCTCGACCAGAGGTCGATAAACGTCGCATCGACATCCCCATAGAAAACACACAGGATACATCTCTTCCAGAACCGAAAAGGCGGCGTGTACCGGGAAAGAAGAAACCCCCAAAGAAGTTTCACATGCCAGAGGGAGTAGTGGAAACCGGGTTTAAGACGCTGTCAGCCTGGATGGGCAAATCCTCTTCCAAAACTACCAGCAAAGTGGTAGCGCCGAAAAAGAATTCCGAGCTGAGTGACCTGGCTGCAATTCCGGATTTGTCTTCGGTAGTTCTTAGTAGCCGGGAGATTAAGGATCTCGACCGGCTATATCGTGACCTTCCTTTCAACAATAGTGCGGTTGAGGAAACAAATATGCCTAGCTTGGTGGCATATCCCAAGCTTCAGAAGAGGCTCCGGCCTGTGGGTAGAGTCAAACATGGGGACCGCACAAAAAGTTGCGTTAAACTTTTACAAAAGATGGCGCGACCTGATGAAATGGTTAGGGAATGCAGGTCAGAAGATCTGAGTAACTATATGGAGATTCCCGTGAAGGCATTCGTGGCCTCCGACTACGAGAGCGACGCAGATGGTAGTGACGCGATCTCCAAACTGCCAAAACCAAAACCTCGAAAGAGGCAAGTTGAACGCAAGACTCCCGTCGGTGGCCAGCGGAAGCGAAGAAAAGTTCAGGACACGCCTCTTCTCGAGCCTGATTTAGAAGTGGAAGAGGCTGGTGGTGATGCCTTGGAAGAAGAAGACGAGGAGAATATAGGCCTGACAGCCCGAATTCGGAAAAAGCCCAAAGCGAAAAGGAAGAAAAGAGCCAAGGCCACTGGAAAAGGCGCCAGTGATCTTGAAATGGGGGATGATTGTGAGAGAGATAGCGATCTCCTGGAAACGGATGGCTCAGACATGGGCGAGGACCTCCAGGATTTCATTGTGTCTGATAACATCATACCCAGCACACAGCCCGATGGTTCCATGTCCTCTTCCCCGGCGAGCAATCATCGCCCCGGCCTCGCCTCTACTCACCGTTCTGCCGCGTTCAATTTATCAGCAACACAGGAGAGTGACGACCTCCCTGATCTTGATGCGCTAACTGGAAGAAACAAGGAGCCGGGCGAGTCCGTGTCAGGATTGCAACGAACAGGTAGAGGCAGACGTCAAATTTTAGACAGTGATAGTGATGAGTAAGTGGGACATGATATACATATAGAAATAAAATTCATCTATCAACGGAATGCAATGGTTTGCGGAATTCGGCCACAAGAATGTATGTATTAAGTTTTACGACCCTATGTGTTGAGCGCATCCAGTTTGGAAATAGCAAGTCGTGTAATTCTATTTATTGTTTCGGTAGTCTTTGCGTTGTGCTTCCACGGTCGTGTTTCCCTCGCCGAGTCGTAATCTACGGGACATCCCTGGAAGGTAATTGATGTCTGATTGTCCCAAGTTAGTCATTTGGTCAAGGACGAAGGTATAAAACAACAGCAAAGGAGAAGGTTTTCTCGTATTTCAGAAACCCGATTTAAAAGCACTACGAACCCTCACCACACCAACAGGGTCCAACGCGAGCCTCCGCAAGCCGCGCATATGACGATGCAGACAAGGGATGCGTACCGCGCAGGAGTACCTGCTGGCACAGCCGAGGAGCTGACGCTAGCTTGAAGGACCAACGCGCAGCCCGAGGGACGTCTCAGACGGCTCTTCCTGTATGATATGGAGGGTTGTGATGTAACTCATCATTTCGAGAGGGACTTGGGCAGCCAGATGGGTATAATTGAGAGAAGCAACTTACCATACGAATTGAGCTGAATATGAACGGCTGAGTTTTCTGCTCAGCAACCTACCGTTGGTTGTCCAATGCCATTGTTTGGGAGCAACGGCTCGTTGTGAGGTTGGGAAAGGAAGAAAAAAAATCAAAGCTTCGCAGCTTAAAAAGTTACTGGGTACATGTACTTGGGCGGCAAGTGGGGACCAGCCACCCAACCAAGTGGGTGACAAATGACATTGCACACCAAATGGTACTTTGATCACCAAACCCTTCACAATTATAGTCTAATAACCCAGCAATAAATATACAATACACCCTCATTAAATACAATAGTTCAATATTTGGACCTCTAAGAATTATTTTATAGTTTTAATTCACTATTTTGATCAGATTCAGCTGTCGGACTGAGGATTGAAAATGCCTATGATTTGCGTGTGCAATGTCTTATGTCACCCGGTTGCCAACTTACCCCATAAGCTCGCCATAGCCAATCAGGAGCTAGCGCCGCTTTGTCGTGTGAGAGGTGACGTTTGTGAGTGAAGCGCAGTTACACCACCCGTTTGTCTCGACCCGGCGGTCGTTCGGGCGCCCTCTCTCTCTTCTCCAGTCGTGCCTGGCCTTGCCGTGCCTTGCCCTTCCATCATCCTCATTTCTGCCTGTGCCCGCATCTCCACGAGCCAGATTCCAATCCCTCGTCATCAACTCCGACCTTGATCTTCACTCCCTCCCATCCTCTAACTCGGTTGGACTGCGACGACCATACCCGTTATCTTGGGCATCGATCCCGCCGCAATCACCATGACGTCCTCCGGCGTGTCGCTCCTCAAATTCGTCGGGACCGTGTCCCTCGGTCTGTTGACGGTGAGTCGCTCTTCTCCCGCTATTTTCTACACGTCTCTTTGCGCTTGAGGCTTTCCCGATACCCAGGAGGCATGTCTATCCATGCCTCACCCCGCCTTCGATGGGCTTTCGCCACCTCCACTATCAGCCTCATCCTGCCCGACCTCACTTGCCAATAATGCATCCGAGGCATCCCCCCTGTTAAGCGGGAATTGTGATGGTACAAATCAAAGTTGACCGAGATCGACGCTGACAAGTCTTTTCTTCTTCTTACACAGGGCGCCTCTTATACCGTCTCAGCCTTTGCATTCCCAACATTCCTCCATTTCCCCTCGTCCGCGGACGCTTCGCGCGCTCTCGTCGACTTCAACTCTCGCCTTCGGATCCCCCTTATCGCACTTACGTCGCTCGCATCTGCGCCCCTCCTGCTTTCTTTCGTCCTCTCACCCCGCAATTCCCGACACCCCTACCTCCTGTATACTTCCCTTCTCACTCTCCTCTCCTTTGCCGCGCCAAACCTGGTCGCCCGCCGTGTGCCCGCCCCCGCAGAGCCGGCTAAGAGGAAGAAGAAGAGCACTCCCCGCCCTGTGCGCAACCTGGAGGCCAGCTACGAGGTCCTCGGCGAAGTTCCAAGTGAGGAGACACACAGCGAGGAGGATTCCGATGAGTTTGCCGCCGTGAATGGTGAAGACGTGAAAGCAGAGGTCGAGTGGGTAGTCAAGCGCTACTTCCTCAGGACCGGCTTTGCTGCCCTCGGTTTTGCCATGGCTGTCGTCGGCATTTGGGGTGACGGTGCTCCTCAGACTGTTTCCTATCTGTCATGAGGGCACATAATGGCAAGCATGCACTTGTAGAGTAGTGTGCTTTCAGAGATTTACGGCAGAAGAAACTTATGATGACTGACTGGGCATGGTGAACTCTCTTCTTCCACGTGTATTGGGAATCAAGGGCTTCCCTTCATAAGAAAGAAACTCGCTAAATTAATAATCAGGAAAAAATCATAAAAACAATAAAACTTGGAAAGATTTGCACTGTTTTTTCTTTGACATCGCGAGAATGGTGCTGCGATGCGGGGGAGTGTTGGTGCAATCTGGCACATCCTCCCGTGCCTTCCGTAGGTTTGAGCAACAGTTTGCTCTCTCGCCTGCAAGAGACGAGCCAGGTTTCAGGATGTTAGGTAAACCAACATCCTGATCCTCTGGAACCTTCCATGGAAGAGACTGCTGGCCTATATACCTAGATAGGTGAAGCCCAGCAGCTCTTCCATGGAGGTTAGCTAGCACTATAACCTAATATTTATCCTCAACTGGTTATGAGCTCGGAGCTTCTACTGCGGGTTTATTGCTATTTTTCTTTCGCCTAAACGGCGATCTTTTGTTTTGCCTTACGGCTGCTCACTTTTGCCTCACGGCTACTCACCTTTGCCTCACGGCCTCTTTGTTCTTTTGCCGTGTGGCCAACTTGTTTTCGTCTCACGACGACTCTAGCCTGCACGCCCGATAAGGCTCACACTACGCCTGTGTTCGCGTTTCTCTGCCGCGCGTGGGGGCCGAGCCCTCAATGTTTGCCGTGGCTGCATAGGGGAACAAGGGAACTGGTTTGAGGCAAGGGTCTGCACGGTGGCATGGCAAACAGGACCAAACGCAGTGAATGCCAGGTGCAGCAGGGATAATACTGATATTGAAACTGAATTATTATGAAACGGCCTTGGCCAGTTAGCTGCCTGCTTTTATTTGAGATGCCAATCAATATTTGCAAAGCGTTATAAATTTCCATACGATTCTGAGTTAATCGAGTCGGCAGCCCTGGACCTTGGCCGGTGTGCTGCCATGGTTATATAGATATCTGTGGTACAAACGGTCCTGATGCAGGCAGCCCTCAAAATCCTCGATCTAACGTCTGTGGTGTCGATGTCCAGTGGCGATGGCCTTAAATGTAGCGAGCGCTTTTATATCTTGGAAACCACCAGTATTGTGGAAACGTTTGCTAATTCAACTGTTATACTGGAGAAGGCTGCTATGGCTCGACGCACTTATACGGCTGTCTGGGTCTGTGTTTGTATCACAAAACGGCAAACTGTTATACTGGAGAAGGCTGCCATGGCCCGGCGCACTGATACGGCTGGCTGGGTCTGGGTTTGTATCACAAAACGGCAACTTGTAACAAGGCGACGCCAGCTTGTATGCTTCTGTAGGCAAATAATGTTCGCTGTATCCGAGGAACCCTCCTCCCTCAGCGCCTATTAATGATCAAACGCAATCAAATCCTCCCATTCTTGTCCCTCCTTTCCCAGACTCCTTACATCTATCTGGCTTATGTTCTAGGGTTCACACCGCAAACTTACCATTCACTATCTATAAGAGACCTCTATCTGGAGCTGAGCCGAAGGTGAACAGAAGTTGTCTTAGACGAAACTTGATTGTGCGCTATTCCTAGCTGAATGGTAGAGTTTGTGCATATCTAGCATTCTGCCTGACTCATTTCTCACTTATCATTCACATCATACAGCACCTTGTCAAGGTTATCATTAAGATTGATTCGATTTCCTTGACCAGCTGAGATCAACTTTCAATCTTCCCTTCCTCGAAAAGAGCCAGAACCCAAACGTCACTTACTCTTTCAAGCCATGCATCGATCCAAGCTTCAGAAATGGCAGAACAAAGCTCATCCCTTCTATGCTGCATATGCATTCAAACAAAACCCTCGGACGAGTTTACACCCAATTTCCCTGAACCCGTTTGCAAGGACTGCGAACCATATGGTGATCTCTCCTGGGTTCTCAGAACTCACCAGGTTGCGCTGGACAAGGCCAAACGGCTCCGACAGAGTCTCCTCAACAAGGCGCAGAAGATCAGACGAATTCCTCAGCCACAGTACGATGTCAAGGTATCGCAGAATGCCGAATTCCTCCGGCTTCTAATTCGCCACATGGACCGTTGGTTGAAGCGTTTCGAAGCAGACTTTCTGGATTCGAAGACATTGCTGTCCAAACATTGCGAGTTTTCTTCCGACAGAGACACGCTTGACCGGGGCTACGTTACAGATGGGCATCTGGTCTTACTTCAGATAATGAAGGAAACTTATGCCTATAAACAACGATGGGACGAGTTGTTACGCAACAATCAAGAACCAGATGACCTAAATCCTCCAGAGTTCACCACGGAAATGCTCGTGGATATTATAAAGAGATGCCCTGTTATCCAATATCGCTCAGAACGGTATAATGAGAGGGAACTCGCAGGGCCCAAGCGAACTAAGAGCTACTATGATGATACATGGCTGCTGGAGAACGTTGGAAATCGATTTCTTGTCTTCAGCAGCGAGCGAGTACTGTCGTTTAAGCCCAGACCGGTTAAGCTGAGGCACGGTCCAGTTTCGGCGGTCATCACGAGGGAGGACCTTAACCCTGAGCCCGGGCAAGATCTTACTGGTTTCTTCCGCATGAAGCGAAAAAGAACAAAGCAACAAACAAGCCTGATAATCTTCGCAGCACTCCCTTATGCTATGAGAGTTAATTACGTGCTGCAAAGGGCTCATAGTGATATTTTTGCTGTATTGAGTATGCTGCCTCTGAGTCAGCTAGGGTGGGCTTACGAATACCGATATAAGCTTGCGGATCGAGTATGGACAAGGCGTATCATTAAAGAGGACATGGGTGACGACGATCGCAATATTCTAGCCCGCATAAGTGACTTTTGGACGGATAGGCCCGACCCTGAACACAGTCTTGACGAGGAAAACGCGTCTTCCGGAGATGACGATATAGACGAAGTGTCTAGCGACCTGGATTCTGGGGATGCTGTCCACAGTGTCCAGTGGCCACGACTCCATTATGTAGACAAATATCCAGACATATGGTCCAATACGAAAGATCTTCTTGGAGATCATACAGAGTTCTTTCAGCTTCTTGTCGACGCGAAAACTAAGGGATGTCCGATAGGCCGCACGATATTAGAGCCCATTATACAACTTGCTTCTCGCGGTAAAGTTCAGAGGCAAGACAACTGTACCGGGGTAGTTGTATCGGACCTCATCTCACTACTGCCCGGCCGCCCGGTAACTAGGTTTTTGTTGCACGATGCGATCGAGGCTGCATGCCGCTTGAGCTCAGAGTACTGTGTGGTCTCTCCAAGCGCTATCGACAACTTCCTAATTGGAAACCTACGGCCTATTGAGTCCTTTTTCAAAGCCGATATACCAGATGGCCAGTCGCAGCCCCCAGCTGTCTTTTTCCTCCTTCCGCCTGATGAATATCCTCAAGAGTTGGCGGTAACTGCCCTGACTACAACCTATGCTAGCACTATTATTATCGGTATTAAAAACCGAGGCATAGGCAAACAATCTACTTTCGAGGTAATTCTAGAGCAGATCTGGAAAGGACTCTTCACGAGTGAGCGCGAGATTGCCCGCCGGTTTATGTATCTGGAGCTCGATGGGAGGCCTAAGCCAGAAGTCTCATCCTTGCTGATCAGGTCCGCTCTCGAAATCAGCCTACTGCGCAACATACCAGACTATTTCGAGCTGGCTGCTGGTCGTAAGAATGATAAGCACAAGCGCTTGAGGATTGAGCGTTGGGTTAAGAAGGAAGGATCATCGAATACCTTCCGTGCCCGAGCTGCAAAAGAAATCTGCAGACACTCCGGCTCATTCGGCCCTCTTCTGTTGCCAGGGCAAGCTGATCCAAGTGTTCGATCGGAAAAATTGACGTCGGATGATGAGGAGTCCTCGAAAGACAGCGAGCCTAGCGACGAAGATGATAGCTTGGATCTACAGGAAGATGGCACTGCATTGGACTTCGATGCTATCGCCACAGAGTTCAACAATTTCGACATGAGTGATGTGGCCCGAGTGGAGGAACTTGCCTGCCTTGCATTTGAAAGAGACCCAGGTCGGAGACCTCACTTTACGATATCGAGCAAAGACGAGTTGGACATTTTGCATTCACCGGATAGTCCAGACTCACGTACAAGGGGTCAGGAGCACCAGATGAAGCTGACCCGGTTGTAAAAGCTTGTATTTCCCGGTATAGAAACTTCTTCCGGCATATTCTATCGAATATCGCCAAATTAAGCCTCGTTTCGTACACCCCCAACTTCCGCAGGGCCTATAGCATGCCCATATTCAATGATTCCGCTTGGCCTCTGTTTATGGCTGCGAATTCGTCGGAGGAAGGTATCGATCGCCTCTTGGCCTTGATGACCGATTTCTCGTTTCACGATAAGGCCATCCAGTACATCCTTGGCCGAGAAACGTGGCCGAAAACAATGTTCGACACGCTCCCTAAGGTCGAGATCAGCCAGCCGAAAGCAATGTCTATGAATTATGGGCAGTACCTGGGCATAGCTCCGATGCCCTGCGGAGACTATTGGTTTTATGCCGGAAGCGCAACTCAGAAGATACCTAGTTTCGACACCTCTACAGGTATGGCTGCTAGGATGTTCCATGGCCACCAGGCCATTCTCGAGAAAGGTCAGGATTGGATCGAAAATGCGAGGAGTAAGGGATCCTGCAGAGTATTTTTAATACATGAGAAGATGGCTGCCTCCGACAGACCGTTCTTCGTCTCGATGCTTGACTATCCACAGCAGAAGACGTCACGACTGGACAGTCTGACACGTTGCCTTTGTCTGCTCTCAGAGTGTGTTGCAATGGTCTACTTAGACCTGTGCGCAGGAACATTAAATCTGGCAAGTAATCGCAGCCACATACAATAACTGACTGCATTCCTTCCACCTCTAATCCGGCCTCGGGGCCTCCCTCCGCTCCCAGGTTTTGGCGCAAATCGTTGTCTAGTCATTCTCCAATCCTTCAAACCAGGCTGGAGCCTGTCCAGATCCTCCGACAGTCCCACAGAACAACTCAACACCCTTTTGAAGGAGCACTGGGAGAAGACTGGCTCAAATGCCCTGACTGACGCACAGATCAAAAGTATTTGCAACCGAATGGATTGGAAGATCAGAGCTAAAAAACTTGTGGAGAGAAGTTACCAATCTTTCCTTCTGGCACGCGGCCAAGTTTACGACTATGCCAAGCCAAGTCCATTGAAGGTGTGCAGCTACCTGTGGTCTGCGATAGTCCAGTCTATCGAGGAGGCTGGTACAGAGTTGGTGGAAAAGGACGGAGCTTATGATCTGGACTTTCGAAGTCTCAATCTCAGCCGAGTATCACAAATAGCGACTGAGGCGGCCCCGCCGGATATGAAGAACTACTTTACAAAGAGCCGTTGCTATTTGCTCTTGAATAATACCGAAAAGTTCTCTCGTGGCAAGCTGCTCCGTGACTTTTTCCTCTTACCGAGCAATTGGATCCAACTGCAACAAGGCCACTTAAACATTGACAACATCCGAAGCCATCTGCAAGAGGCAATATCCATCAGGCGCAGGATAACAGATATTACCCACCGCATTATCTACAAGGCTCTAAATGATCGCCATCTGGTAGAGATTAAGAGCGATAATTCGGTATGGGTAACTGCGAAGTCAGTCTTTGATAGCCCGGAGCTTGTTGCACTTGCTGTGCAACAGCTCCAGGTTGACACGCACATAGCTAAGGATGTGCATGTTACGAGGGAAGCATGGAGTAGCATTCGGCTGGAGTATATTATTGGCAAAGCTATATCAAAGGCATTGCAAACTCTTCGGCGCTCGGGTCTGCCCCTAAGAGAATGGAAGGCCTGGTCCCATTTGACGGAAGTCGAGAGCGGATGGATCAGCGATTATGGACAAGTACAGCCGAAGGGAAAAGTGAAAGTGCAGCCTGATATGAGTTCCTCCTACAGCGTGTCAGGTCCCGCGATGTCCATGATCGAAGAGGTGGCCGATCTATCTGCAGAGGAATTCGAGATCCTGAGGAGGATGCTTGCGCAGTCAGTGCGGTCCACCGATGAGATCTCTGGCGAACTACCACGATTACCTCAACCGCTACCGGAGAATGATAAAGCTGTTAATAATGGGTTCTTCCAGGTCCTGGATCGTGATGGTCAACATCACAAGAGCAAGATCTTCAAGATCACTAGTCGTCCTCGCGTACAAAAGACCAGCAAAACGCAACTACCGGGGACAGCAGACTATCTAGAGGGCTGGGAGATTATTCCCACTGAGTCACAAAACCTTGAATGTGGTCTCTTTGCTCTGGTGCACAGCTTGGAGCACCAGATGCCGAACTTGCCGATACCTATAATATCGGTCCTCAGAGATATCATAAACGGGCCATTCATTACTGGCCGAGCCCTTGAAGCGAGTGTCGTCCACAACACCAACCACTTCACAGTCGACCAAATCGCTGCCGCGCTGATGATCTGGGGGGACTCTATAGACACAGCGCTGCAACTAGGAGTCATCACCCCGACTCAGCCGCCATGGGTGGTATTCGCTGAGTCCGGCCGCAGCACCCTGTGGATTTTCAGTAACGATGCTGAGGCATCTGGAACTGCCACGATAAGTCACTACTCAGGCCTAAAGCCCCGTATTATCGCCGACAGCCAGCCGCAACTGGCCATAGAGTCCTCATTATTTGTGACAGAGCAAGTAGATTCTCAGCTACCACCGGCAGGGGACAGAAACCCTCTACCATTACCGAAAGTGGGAGTGAACTCGAAGAAGAAAAGTGCGTCCACACAGCTCGGAATACATGCAAGCGACTTCCCCAGCGAGCGGGAGTGTCCAAGATGTGAGTCGAAGGCTTTCTACAAGTCAGCACATGTCTTCAGCGCACACATCAGGAATTGTCCGGGTCGATGTGATGCATGCCAGAGGAACGAGCGGCCATGCGAAAAGAGCAATCCGTCCGTGAAGGGGCAATGCGTATCATGTCAGGAAATGGGATGCGTATGTGAGAATTTTTCACACATCGATGAGGTACCCTTCAGCTCATGCTACAAATGCGGCAGACAACAACCCTTCGAAATCGGTCACGTTTCTAGATGCTCGGGCAAATGTCGACGCTGCGATGAGGAGAACTTGATCTGTTGCAAAAAATAAAGGCGGTAAACGATGCGTAACATGCACAGAAGCCGGTGTAACTTGCCCCAGGAACTTTACGCATTGTCAGGGAAATGCTGCCACGTGCGAATATTGCGGTTGCGAAAGGAAAGATCTTGAGAAACATGTTCTTAAATGTCGGGGAAAGTGCCTCAGCTGTGAAACTAATGGGACAAATTGTGACTTAGCTACGAAAAGTCTTAGTTGCCGGCCGTGCAAACAGGAGGGAATCCGCTGCATCATGCCAGAGCCCGTCACGCACACCTGCCCAAAATGCGAATTCACGGGAACCTATATCGCGCCTTGCCAAGTTGACATTCACGAGAAAAGCTGCCTCGGACGATGTGATCCGTGCGTCGAGGCCGGCATACCTTGCGAGAACGCGACGAAGCTCAAGGCATGCACGGCGTGCGTTGAGAAGGGTGACCCTGCAGGCTGCAAGGGACGCTCACACAAACAGATCTCGAAAATCTCGACAATTTGTCCATACTGTCTTTGCGACGTTGCAAGATTCTACCAACACGTTAAGCTATGCAGAGGTCAGTGTACGACCTGCAAGGGAAAAGGCCGGGCATGCACTGGGGGACGTTATAATCCCAGGTTCAGCTGTACACCTTGTACGGAGGAGGGGTTAAGGTGCTCTTTTCGCTTCGGGTAAGAGATGTATGGAGGAAGAAACAAATATACTAATAAAACTAGCTAGCCAAGCGTGTGACATAAGACATTGCACACCAAACGGTACTACTTTGATCTCCCATTTGGCCAAACCCCTTACATTTATATATAGCTAAATAAGCAGCAAATAATACACAATACCCCTTAATTAATGATAAATAATATAGTATTTAGGTTCTGAAGAACTATTCTGTAGCTTTTGTTTACTATTTGAGTAGGCTTTAGCTATTAAAATTAAGGATCGAAAACACCTGATTTGCGTGTGCAATGTCTTATATCACCCGCTTGCTAGCTAGATATTTTAAGAATTAATCAAGTTTATATGCATATTAATTCGGACCCTTGGGTGCACTACTTTCTGTGAAATATAATGACCCCTAGGTAGTTTTCCCATGTAGAATACATCTTAAACGGCATGAACGCTATTGCAGTTCTGACATTTCTCCCTCTTCTTCATCTCCTCAGACGACATCCAGGCCCGAGTGAGCTTGGACGTCAGCTGCGAAGCCGCGAAATCCTCCTGAGTCTTGCGATCCGGACCGTCCGCCCCCTCCTCCGCCTCATCGTCCTCCTCGTCGTTGCGGGCGTTGACGCTAAAGTACCGCGACTGGACCTCCTGCTCGCCCAGCCGCCTGGCCACGTCGTTGGCCTCGTTGAGGGAGACGAGGCGGCGGCCGCTGGGGTTCTTTGCCATGGCCGTGCTGCAGATGTCCCAGATGACGAGCTGGGCGACGTCCCTCTCGAGGCGCTTGATCTGGCAGTCTTCGACGGCGCCCGCCGCCGCGAGGAGCTCGGGGAGGAGCTCGGGCTTGTAGTCGCCGCTGAGGCCGAGCTCCTTCAGCTGGGCCTTGAGGGAGTCCTGGTCGGCGAGCCTGTCGCCGTACTGGGTCGACCACTCGAGCTTCTTCTTCTCCCTGCGGATCTTCTCGCTGAAGTCGGTGTTCTGCATGCGGATGTCGCCCGGCTTGGAGAACTGGGAGGAGGTGAGGGTGTCGTAGGCGGCCTCGGCGGGGGTGCGGCCGACGGCGTTCTCGCGGTAGAGGAGGCTCGGCTGGAAGTCGATGAGGGCCTTGGAGATGGAGACGTGGTGCTTCATCACGGCGTTGTGGAGGCAGGTGTCACCCGCTCCGTTGAGCATGTCCAGCCCCTGGCCGTTGGAGTACCTGAGCAGGAGCTGGAGGGTCTCGAGGACCTCCTTGGGCCGCAGCTCGACCACCTCGGAGTAGTTGTTGTAGTAGTAGTAGTTGCGGCGGTGGTTGTTGGTCTGGACGTCGGCGCCCACGATCCTGGAGACCCATGCCTGCAGAGGGGCCGTGCCGGCCTCTGACAGGTTCTTGCGCTGCTGGAAGAGGTGTGCTCGCAGATCCGGGTCGAAGAGGTCCAGGAGAGCTTGGAGCTTGGACGGAGTGGTGTTCTGCGCCAGTGCCATGTGGATGATATTCTCGCCCTTGGAGTTGCGGACGGACTGGTCGGCGTTGCCTTGGATCAGGATCCTGGCAAAGTCGATGCGTCCGAGACGGCAGACGACCATCAGAGGAGTGTCGCCGTTGGTTGACTTCTTCTCCACGGCACCTGGGCAGGTTTGGATAAGATATTCAAGAAGCTCGTTGGCAGGCTCACCAGGCTCGGCCAACACGGCGCAGTGAATGACGAGGTCCTCTGGAGGGTCTATTAGCTTTGTTGCATATAACACGGATGTATAAGGAGGATGGAGTCTCACCGTCAGCTCCGAGCCATTTCGAGATGGCCCTGTCAAACCCGCCGGGGCTCTCTTTGAGGTGGGTGAGGCGGGAGTCGCTCTTTGCAGCTTTGGATTTCCCAAATTCAGCATACAGTCGGTGAGGGGCGTCGCTGAGGAAGAATTCGACGCTCTCGATACTGCCGCCGAGGGCTGCATGAAGAAGAGGCGGTGTTTTCATGCCACTCGTTCTGACGACACTGTTTCTACCAGCCGTGGCCCAATCCTTTCTATATTGATGTTTTAGTAACTGTTTGGGCTTTGATAGTCTGAACGAAATAAAGTATTCAAAGGGGAGAGAGAAAAAACATACCTCTTCTTTCCGTAGACAGTCAAACCCTGGTAGAACCTTGGCTTCTCCTGTAGTTCTACACCACTCTTCTTCACGAGGTGGTCGAGCGGAATTCCTGCACCCGTGCGTTTGATGACGAGACCGAGCATTTCTGTCTTCCCGTGCTCAATAGCCCATTGGAGTTCGCTCTGAGGGAAGACGAAAGCACCGGAAGGCTCATCTGTATTGGTGTCCAAGTCCTCGAACTTGTGAGCCGCCCAACGCTGGGCCCAATCAAGGAGAAGCTTGAGGCCAGACATGTTATCCTTCTCAAAGCATTGCTGAAGAGGTGTGCTCCCGCTTACGCCGACCCACTGAAGCAGAACTGTCAGAGGTCTGACATTAGAGTTCACCTTCATGGACACATGGCCGATGTCATCGATGGTGAACTTCTGGTTGATCTTCTCGCTCACGATCTGGGGATCTTCATTTTCGGAATCAGATTCCGCACATGAATCCTCGTAGCTCTCTTCATCCTCATTTTCCGTGTTCAGCTTGTACCGCACCTTGTCCTTCTCAGGGGCCGACCATTGAGCCTTGACAATCTCGAGGATGGCTTCGGCAACCTCATAGTGGCCCCTGAAAAAGGCCAAGCCGAATGGACTATTATTGTTGTCGTCGGAAATAGCGATTTTCAACGGAGGCTGTTCTTGGTCTTCTCCCCATGCTTGCAAGGTCAAAGACTTGATTGTCTCGATGTCGCCACTCCAGGCCGCTTCCAAACTATTCCATGTGTTAGTGGGTCAAATCAATATGAATGAGTACAACTGAATGTCATAGATGATACTTACAGCCTGAGATAGCCTTCCTTGCGCACCTCTGTGATACCGTCATTATCTCGGAAGTTGAAGGTGTATGTGTAGGGCTTAGTTGGCTCCTGGTTGGAAACCGCCGAAGAGTTGAGCGTTATGCCGGTCTTGATGTCGGGATGTAGCTGTTCAAACGTCTTTGCTCCCTTTGCAATAAGAGCTTCCTCCAGCTTCATGTATCCAGCAATCATTTCGTCGAGAAACTGTTCCTTCTCATCTCTTCCCTCTGCTGCGTTTATTTTCTCTAGCTGAGCTTCGTAATTCTCTATTTGCTTTTCATGGTTTTCCTTTAGATTCTGGATGTGCTTGGATACGGCATGGTGCTGGTATGTTCCAGGCTTGAGACCATCAAGATAAGTATCGACTCCGGGCTGCAACTTGGGCTTCTCAATGCCAGTCTTGGTGCGTTCCTTCTGCAGTGTCTTCAGAGATCTGCGCACCACGTCCAAGACTGCAGCGCCCTTGTTATTGTTGCGGTAATACTGGTGCTGCATGAGATTATAGGTTGCAGGCGTTAGAGCATTGAAATCAGCCCCGGCCTCAAGGAGCTCAATCGCCACCTCGGGATTGGCGTTCTGCACAGCAGTGATGATAGGTTGGGCCATCCGGTTGTACATCTGCTTGTTCTGCTCCAGGTTGCTGAGTCTGTTCGACTGTGTTGGCGATACCTTGGCTGCCTTGAGCCATGACTCATAGTCAATGTTCGATTCTGCGCCGGCGTTGAGCATCTTCAGGATCAAGATTGAGTCTCCTTGCTCGATGGCGGTGTGCAGGGGAGAAATCGCGCTGGCATCCCAGTAGTATCCCGCGAAAACGAGATGGTTGATGGCCGTCTTCACACCCATCTGATCATTCTCGAGGAGAGAATCGACCAATTCGCTCCTACCGCACTGGACAAATCGGTGGAAAGCAGTGGTTCCATTCGTCTCAGCCTGTGACGACACTGCTCCGAGGCTCAGCAGCAACTTGGCCATTGACTTTGCTTGCTCGAGAGGCAGTGTCAATGCCAGGGTGAGGGTGAGAATTGCGCCTGTGTCAGTGTCGTTGCTGGACAAGAACTTGACGGGGAGAATCGAATCGGCTCCATAGTCGCAAAGGAAACGTACGGCTTCCTCATGACCGCCGGCGATGGCGAGGTGAAGGGGAGAGCATCGCACATCCCACGCGAGAACGTCGATCTGGTAATAGTCTGGCTCGTCATCTGGGACATCAAGATCATCCAAATCGGTGGCGTCCTTGCCATCCTTGATGTTGACAAACGAACCTGTCACGATCGAGTGTGCGTCGGTGTTGGTTTGCTCGTTTTCAATGAGCTCCCCGTCTGAGTCCTCATCAGCTTCCTCTTCCTCCTCCTCATCGTCTTTCTCGTCCTTAGCCTCTTCAGTCTTCTCTGCACCCGATTTCTCATCGGCGTTGCCCTTTGCTGCTAAACGCTTTCTGTCGCGGCGCTCCTCTTCGACTTCCTCATTCTCAATGCTCTTCTCCATCAATATTTTGATGATTTCAGTGTGGCCCCTGGAGGCAGCGAGGTGCAGAGCTGTTCGACCATCAGCAAGACGAGCCGTTAATCGTGCGCCATGGTCGACCAGGCAGCGAACGACATCAGGCGTGGAGGCCATGACGGCCAAATGAAGAGCAGATCGGCCAGTGTAATCCCGCTTGTTCACATCGGCCTCTGGCTGGGAAAGCCAGTTGAGGACATCGTCCACATCACCATCTACAATCGACTGGCAGAGCCGTGCAGTGTTGCCCACGTATGCCATGTCAGTCCAATCCTGTTCGGTCAAGGGATTGAACGAGCCGATCTGCTGCCTTCCAGGGTCATCAATGAGGAAGGAGACCTTTCCAGAGATGTAGATCTCAGCCTCCTTCTCAGCGACTTCGATCTCATCTTGAGTCTTTGCCTGGGGACAGGTCCCGCAGCAGTCTTCAATGACGTCTTGAACACGTCCGAAAAAGGCTGGGTGGCGATGAAGATAGACCTTTCGGTCTTCCGACTGGTTCCATTCGGCATTGAGCAGAAGATCACGGGTATAGCAGAGCTTTTCGATGCTCTTGGCTTGAAATTTCTGGCCATATGGCACTGTGAAGGTGTGGTAGTTGCTCACGACCTCCTCGGACAGCCAGTCTGCAATCTCGTCCTCATGGTGGTCCTTGATGTTGCCACCGAGATTGTAGTAGCTCCGGTACACTGTAGGTCTCCCACGCTCCTCGCGCCTCTTGTTGAGGTACGCCTCACGGGCGGAGGTAGTTGGGAGCCTTTCGAGAATGAGGAGGCGAGCAAGACCCAAGGTTCGGCTGAAGCTTCTTTCGAAGATCGTGGGGTCGATTCGCGACCGGTCCAGCTCTGGCCAGTACACCTCGAAATTGCGATGCGAGTACTTTGAGAGTCGGCTCTCATAGGACGGGCTGCGTCTTGAGAGGTCAACGTGGTTGATCTGGGTGATGAAACTACCCAATGCCCGTGGAGTGACATAGACCTGCTTCCCGTTATAGGCACCTCCGGCAGCGTCAATGTCGAAACCTGTTAGAATTTCACTGATAGACTTGTACACTCTCAGAACAATCTGGCGTCACCAATCAGCGAACATGGCCCTTGGTGGATTACTCGTGGGTTTTAGGGGTGCATACCTGTACATGTCGCACTGGATAGCGACTGGCAATAGTGATGGCATACTTGGTTCTCACCACCGTAACCTCGTGGAGAATTGCGTCTCGAATAGCCTGCTCAATCTCCTTGATCTTCTCTATGGCCTGCTCATGAGTCAAGCCGTAAAGGAACAGATCTACATCTGAGGCAGGGCAGAATTTCTCATGATAATACTCACGAAGCTTGCGCTTCGTGGTATTGAACTCCTTCGGCACGGGCAACAGACAGTTGACCACGGATGAGCCGGCAGCCACGACATTGTCCCAGTTGAGATCAGCCAGCGAAGACTCCGAGAAGAGATTAAAGTTCTTCTGAAACTCGGAGTGACTGGCGACGGTAGCAGGAGAGCCATGTGGGCGACGCTTGTTATCTGGCAAGGGCATGATATACTTTGATTTCTCATCCTCGGACTCTTTAGCCAAGTCTCGAGCACGAGTAGTGATGAGTTTTGTGTCCTCGGTAAACAGAGGAAGGACATTGAGTTGAGGGTCTTCTAGGATCGGGTTCTGACGATCTTGAGCGTAGACAGTGCGCAGCTGAGCCTCATATTCGCGATAAGGCTTCAGAATCTCAACAATGGGCTCGTCGGGGTGTTCGGAGATATATCTGGCTAGCTCTGAGTGAGGAGCTGGCAGCTCGGGGAGACCTGTGGCTGACATGATTTACAGTGGTTGAATCCTACCAAGCCGTTGAAGGATAGGCTAGTACTAGGTATTCGATAAATTTGATATATGCCGACACGCTGTTGAGTAGGTAGGTTGATATCCTCGATGTGAGGAGGAGCAACAACTTAAAAGGCACAAGAACGTAAAGGCAGGATAGGGGAAAAGAAGAAAGATAAGTGTTGGGTTCAGTTAAGACAATCACAATCTTACGCAGTCCGCAAGAGTTGAGGAGCATGCGGAGGCCGTCGGTTTATATATAGCAAGCTGAAGCAGACATCCCTCAGCTCGTCGGTTGATGCAATTGACACCAACCGGCCAGCATCGCCTTCTCGTGAATTGCACGCATTGTCCAATCCGCTGCCTGGCTAAACCGGGTCCTCCCATTGCATGCACACACAAGCACCGCTTAGCATCAAGCCACCTGCGCGATGGTTTGATGAGCTGAAGCTGGCAGCGGAGCGGATCAGGAAACTCGTGCAATTGACTGGCTGTTCCGAGCATATGGCCCTACCCCCTGTAGCCGCGGGGCATTTGCACGCTGAATTTGGAGGGCGTGGGGCCACTGGTGCCTGGCCTATGCCCCTTTCAGCGGTCCGGCTGCCTGGGCCAGCAGATGCCAAGCCTGAGCTGTGCTGCAGCCAGCCCTGAAGAGCGGTCAGACAGTGGGAGAGAGCCTCGCTTCTGCCTGCAGACATCATGATCCTCCCACCACCACCACGCCCGTCTATGAATCGTTGCATGGCTGCCGTGAATACAGGCGCCGGCTGTCCCACCGGTTTTTCACAGACCGGAGTGCATTGCGATCGACTCCAGACAGTCATCCTATACGCGCGAGGTGGCTTCAGCTGAGTGCTGCCTTGACTTCGGCGCATCCATTACCTTTGAAAGGTTCAGGCGTTGATAAGATTGTTTTGCTTCTATTATGGTAGTAGCTCTAGCACTGCCGTTTTAATTCTATTCTAAGTCGTTATCGTTAAAAGTCCACTGTAATAAGTTACGCCAAAATGCATGTCAAGCCACATACATCATCTCGACTATCCCTTCCCCCTTAGCAAAAGGGGCAGGGCCTTCTTTTATCTCCTTCCTCACCAGCCACACCATCCACATTATACGGCGGAATCCTCATCGCAGTCTTTCTCGGCCGTCGCAAACAGATACATCACCGTGGCGATGAACTTTCCTGCCCCAGAGACAGCAATCGCTGTCCCTGATCCAACTTCACGATAAATGAAGGCGCCCACAAACCCACCGAGGACGAGAGCGAGGAGGAAGGCCACTCGCCGACTCCTTGGTCGGTTGTGGTAAGCAAGGATCTTGGAATCGATCAGTAAATCCACCCACGCTGCCGTCGCCATGGCTGTGCTGATCTCGGTCATGGCCAGGCTGCGGGACTGGACCACCTGGCTTCCTGCCGCCAGTGCCAGCAATCCGATCACCGAGAGCGCTTGGGGTCCCTGGATTTCGGTTCCGTGGATGTATTGGACGGCGGCTGCGGCGAAGACCAAGCACGTCTGGATGAAGTTGCAGAGAAACAGCCACCATCGCTTTCTGGGACCAATTATGTGACTAAGCTGTCCAGTAGCCCAACCCGCTGCCAGGAAGAGCCCCAGGGAAACCCCTATGTTTGCGGTGACGAATGCATCCCCATTAAGGTGCGGCAAGACGAGCCCCAGACACAAGAATATCGTGTTTCCGGTTTGGTTGGATGAGAAGCAGTGGTAGTCGGGGACCGTGGTTGCGTCTGACGCCAAGATCGATGTTAATCAATGGGCACTCGTCTACAGGTGAAGTTAAGGCCGCTCGGGGGCTCACCTTGAATTCCCGTAGAGAACGTTAATAGTAGAAGTTGTAGCTCGGAGGAGATGTTTGGTTGAATATTTTGTGTAAGGTGCTTGACGACTGCATGTTGCTTCGGAGAGGGACAAGGAGCCTCCTTCTGGTGTTGATCATCACCCGTGCTGGTCTTCATTGTTGCGTCACTTGAAGGATAATAAGTGCAAGGTATATATTGCACGGTAGTAGTTTCAGTATTGGGTTAATTCACAACTTCTGATGTTCATTAAGAAGAAGAAGAAAAAAAGAGTGTGGCGATGAATCTGTAATTGTGCTGATATTTATCTATGAGCGCGACCTTTTTTTACGCGGCCCGATATCCGTAAGGCCATCGGGTGGTTTTCAGAGGAAGCCAAAGGATGTCATCGTATACTCCCAAGTACCCAGAAAGGACGCCGCCTCCATATTCGGAGCCAAGTGTCATGGACTGGTCTCGCTAGCCGAAGAGGCCAGACTAAAGGGTAGGTGGCAACTAGGTGACAAAAAAACGATGCACCGCTGAGGTCGGTGTTGTATTCCAACATAACCCCAAGCAATTGGCAATTAAGTCAAACGAAACAAGTATTATGAAGCAAATCTGAAACTTGGTGATTACCTGCTAAGTAATTTAACTATCATCGCCACGAAAATTACGTCTGTAATTGCATATCAGACTCAAAGCGGCATTTCGGTGTCTCAGGTTTTATGTCACCCTCCTGAGCCGGAGTCTGGAAGGAAGAAGTGAGCCGCCGAGAGGCCGCGTTGTGGGGCTTATCGGCGACTACTTCCAGCCAATCAGACAGTTGGCTGCGAACACTTTCCGGGCGGGCTGAAGCTCTCCAACAGGTTCCGTCCCAAAGCCACCGATTCCCGTGGCAGATGCTTCCAGAGTGGCACTGCCCCAATTTTAAGTTGGGCCGAACGCTGGCTGGCCGTCGTTGCCGAAAGACAGATGCCGCATCCGCCGAACGGCCCAGCATCGTCGGTCGCTCGACAGCTAGCAGCCAAATGAGTAAGCCAGGGCACCGCACATGGGAAGGGATAAGATGACTCTGTGAATGTCGGAAAAACTGGATTTCCTGCTACTTATTTGTTGTTCTACTGTTCTGGATAATGATCTAATCATGGCAATGATATTTTGGACATCAGTCGCAAAGTCACGTGAGACCGCATTTTACTGATGACTAAGAAACGCGGTTCGCGGGTGCCGCGTTGCCATTAACGTGCACATTTACCGTTGACGATAGTGACAAACGCTACCTAAGAATTGCTCCAGCTTGGTTCAAACGGCATCAACGACACTATCAACAGCTTCAAATGTCGCCAGCTTACTTGTGGGATTAGCCGGCATCGTCGAGCCGACTTCATGACCCGGAATAATCTCCAAGACCAACTCAAATGGCTGTTGCGTGACGCTGCCCTCTCTCGACCTGTAACGCTGCCCCTTCCGAACAGCGATAGCCAGGGGTTTTCCTCGAGCTCCTCCCAGGATCCATCTTTAGTATCAGTTAATGGCTCTCAACCGCACACACGAGTCTCCGTCAATGAAACTGAGACGGCGACAAATCAATCGCAAACTGGACCTGGAGGGGCTCTGAACAGGGCGGGGGATGCGGTGCATTATATTACGAGGGAGACTTTGGAGGACGGGACAATGGGGCGGCTGACGTCGAGTGTCAAGTCGAAGAAGCCGTCTCTGATATCTCGGCAGGACCACCTTCTTACTCCCACGCCCACGACATCCCGGATTGCCGAACAATCTAGCCGAACGAAACCGCTACCTGCTGGAATATCGAGCCCGAGTCGCAAATATGAGTGCCTATCGACCCCCAAACCAATTATTGCTGGACGCACACTATCACCGACGGCAGCGTTTGAATTTTCATCCATTAATTCAGACGATTTGGACTACATGGATCTGACTGGAGACCAAGACCCGTCTACAGGTTCTCCTCCGCCAAATGAGGCAAAGACCAAGCCAACCTCCCGCACAGATAATAAGAGAAAGAGTGACGGCATAAGCAAGGATGATAGTATTTCAGACGATTTACTTTTCCCGGATGTCTATGAACTGCTTGGAACGAGTCGAAAGAAGACACACGTCGCTGCAGAAACGCCATCGAGGACCCGTAGTAGCCAAAAATTGTTAAAAGACGACTTTGATGAGATGGATCTGTATGAATTTGAGTTGGACGATATCGACATCAAGGGGAACCCGCAACAATCGACAGATGATCGAGCCGCAAACCCCGCTCCTTCTTCGTTGAGCCACCCTAGTTCATCGAAGAAGAGGAAAACATCTGCTGAACCTACGCAGACAAAGGCACCGGAAATAGATCTTGAAATGATCATTCCTGACTCGGATGATGAGTGCATGAGCCCTGTTTCCCGCAGGAAATCAGAGACAATTCCGGACGACTCATTGGAGTATCTTGGGGAGAACATAGTCGGGGCAAATGGAGAACCTGCTCTTCCCCAGTTGGAACCCCCAGCCGACCCGCCCCGCCTGCACTTCTCTGATGCTTCTAGTAGCTCTACTTCTTCGGCTGAACCCAAAAGCAATGGAAGTATTGCTCCTACCATCCAAGAAGTTGGGAGTGTTGCTTTATCAGCTGACCAGAAGCGTATATTGTTCAATCACCTTGCTAGCAATCCTCAAGCTTTGGCGGCGAAGTCAACTTCTGTGGAGAAATTAGTACAGCAGAATGGTCAGAGTTTCATGCGAGCGGTCTCGGAGCGTGCCCCAAAGGAAAAGCGCAACGAGATCAGGGCCGAGAAAGAACGTTTGTTGAAGCAAAAAGAGGCTCTCAAGGAGGCTTCCACCATTTTGCTATCATACAGCAAGCTTAGTGAGCAACGTGGTACCCTCGCCGACGAGATTACGGAGGCTTATGCCGATGGTGTCGATACCGATGAAGCCGAGAATCGCCTTGACACCCTCACTGACCAAATCCAAGAGGTAGAGGAGACTATTCTTAAAACCTTGATTGACGGCGGGGTGGACGTGAACAGTTTTCTCGACTTCTGCCAGGTCCCACCTATGTCAGATCAAGTCAATGGGCATCTGGACACTGTTCCTGTTAGCCAACCCCTCACCCAATTCACGGTAAATATGGCTATGAATTCTGGGCTTGGCCCTGCTGAGGATCTTGACTTTGATGTGGTTCACCGGACGCAATTGTCCCAGGCAGGTGGAGCTTGGTCACAAACGGGACCATCGGGATCAAAGCCCTCTTCTGAGTCTCACTATAATGCCATCGATTCCCGGAAGCTAGGTCAGATACCAACCGGAAGTTTTGGCATGGGCGATGGGTTCCCTCAAGGCCCTGGCGATGTGGGATTCTCGCAAGGGAGATCGACAAAAGCGTCGACGCATCAGATGAACTCCAGATCTACGCAGATGGGTAGGATCCCCCCCTCCGAAGGGGACGAGTTCGGCGATTTTAGTGACGATGCAGAGATTTTGGCGCTGGCACAAGACTATGAGACTCGAAAGTCGACAGAGATCCAGCTGCCACCTGCGAGACGTGTTCTCTCTGATACATCGGGCAATGCTGTTCCAACGACCAGATCGAAAAAGTCTACAACTAAGCCTGTAAAGTCGGCTTTGCCAGCACTATCTATCCCGCCGGAGCTGATGAAGCACCCATGGTCTTCGGACGTTCAAAAAATGCTCAAGGATCGCTTTCGTATGAAAGGATTCCGGCAGAACCAGCTGGAGGCCATCAACGCTACATTGGCCGGCGATGACGCCTTTGTCCTAATGCCGACAGGAGGAGGCAAGTCGCTCTGCTACCAGCTCCCAGCCGTCATCAAAAGTGGAAAGACCCGCGGTGTCACCATTGTGATTTCTCCTCTGCTAAGTCTCATGCAAGACCAGGTTGACCACATGAAAGCACTGGGAATTCAGGCCGTGGCTTTCAACAGTGAATGCTCTGCTCAATATAAAAGGCAGATTATGGGCGCCTTCAATGAACGAACGCCGGAGCATTTTGTCGAGCTCCTTTACGTCACACCGGAGATGGTTAGCAAGAGTCCTCAGTTCAGCGATGCCCTGGAGACTCTCTATCGAAAACAAAAGTTTGCCCGTCTCGTCATTGACGAAGCTCACTGCGTCAGCCAATGGGGCCATGATTTTAGGCCCGACTATAAAAACATTGGCCAGCTGCGCCGGAGGTTTCCAAATGTCCCTGTCATGGCACTTACAGCCACGGCAACTCAGAACGTCATCGTCGATATCAAGCACAATCTAGGCTTGAGACATTGCCAAGTTTTTTCTCAGAGCTTCAATAGACCTAATCTGACCTATGAGGTTCGCCCCAAAACAGGAAACGCTGCTGCTACCGATGCTATCGGGGAACTCATACTAAGGGACTATCGCAACGTCAGTGGGATTGTGTACACAATTTCCCGAAAACAGGCAGAAGAGGTTGCGCATAAACTCTCCTCAGAACATGGCATAGCCGCGGACTACTACCATGCAGGAATAGAGCCGAAGGAGAAAGCCGAGGTTCAGACTGCCTGGCAAAAGGGCGAAATCAAAGTTGTGGTGGCTACCATAGCCTTTGGTATGGGTATCGACAAACCCGACGTCAGGTTCGTTGTCCACCATGGCCTTCCCAAGAGCCTGGAGGGCTACTACCAGGAAACTGGACGAGCTGGCAGAGACGGCAAACCTTCCGACTGCATTCTATTCTACGGAAAGGGGGACATAAGAGTCCTGAAGAAGCTTATCTCCGATGGAGAGGGAGGTGTTGAGCAGAAGGAGCGACAGATGTCGATGTTGAACAGAGTTACTGCTTTCTGTGACAACCAGGCCGACTGTCGTCGCACTGAAGTGTTGAGGTATTTTGGGGAAGACTTTACCCCCGAGCAATGTAACAAGTCGTGTGACAACTGCAAGGCGGCCTTGGTTTTCGAGCAGAAAGACTTCTCGGAATGCGCAGTGGCTGCTATTAATGTTGTCCAGGTCCAGCGAAGACTCACCCCAAACCAGTGTGCGGACATCTTACTGGGCAAGGCTTATCCAAGCAATGAGGAAAGAAAGTCAGGTGAATGGCACGGCGTGGCCAAGGGCATGAAGAAGCACGAGGTAGTGCGAGTTATTGACAAGTTGTCAGCGGAGAAGGCCTTCTCGGAGTCGAACCAGGTCAGTAGGTATGGCATAGCGATCCAGTACCTCCGCATCGGACCAACAGCAAGGGCATTTCTGGATGGTCAACGCCGACTGATGCTTTCGATTCAAGTATCGAATCCAACACGAGCAGTCAAGAAGAAGGCCACCAAAAAGGCAGCAAACAACGAGCCCGAGTCGCAACCTATTCTCTCCACATACGTCTCCTCTCCTATTGGGAGGCGGAGACCTCGCGGGAGAATTGTAGACAGCGATGACGAGGTGGAGTTGAACCAGACAGCATCAGGGTATGCGAACGACGGGTTCGTTGTATCTGATGATGATATTGAAGCCGATGAAGAAGAAGAACCTTTTGCGCCATTACCTAAACACCGACCAGCCCGGCCGCCTCAGCCAGCTCGGCCTCCTGTCGCGACTCCCCGGCGCAAGGCAGGGCCTCCTATCCCCATTGATACCCCAGCCGAGGATATTGATGAGGTGCACCATGATCTGATTGGCAGTTTTGTGCAAGAAGCGCAGTCACTCGAGGAACGGATTCGAAATAAGAAGGAGCTTCGCCGGCCCCTGTTTTCTCAACGAGAGTTTATGGCGATGGCGACTCACTGGACCACCTCCATAGAGAAGATGGGCCGTATAACAGGCATTGATTTGGCCAAAGTCAGCGAGTACGGGCCTAATATTCTCAAAATCCTGGCACGCTATCATGTAATGTATAGAGAGATCACGGGCGCCACCGGAGGCGCATCTTCATCATCGGCTCGGGAGGACCAAGATATAGTTGACCTGGTCAGCTCGGAGTCTGAGCAAGACGACAGGGACGGAGAAGACGAGGAGGAGGAAGAGGAGGAAGAAGAAGATTCGCATTACTTTGCCAACAGCGCCCGGCCCGAGGTCCAAGCCTTCAACGAGAGGCTCCAGGCCTTGCCACTCACCGGGCAATCCAGTAGCTCTAGAGGATCACGCGGCGGCACCAGGGGCGGTGCCCGAGGTGGTCGCGGAGCAAGGGGTGGCGGCAGTGGCGGTAAGAGCTGGTCAAAGAAGGGGCCCAGGAGGGGCTCGCAGGGCTCAAAGCGCAGAGGTGCTTCGACCGGCGCAAGGAAAGCAAGCGCAAGCGCATCTTCAGGCCCGGCGGGAGCATCCGCTCCTTCGGGTGCCTCGAAGTCTGATAGGAAGATTGTCAAGAGGAGCGGTGGTGGAATTGGGCTGATGCCGATATGAACAATGGGAAGGGGGAGCTGGTTCTTTGCTTTCCTTTGTTTCCCATTTACTCAAGAGGAGTCATCGGAGTTTGTGACTTGGGGAGCAACGGGCGAGGCGAGGCGAAATCTAATTTTCTCGCCTTCCTCTTCATGGTGTTTTTTTTGTTTCCCTGCCCCCCTTGCTTTGGGACTTGAGCATTAGATCATCGGAGGACGATACCATACATATACATACAACGTGCATAGGGCACTGACGAAGCGAAGACATATTGTTTTACTGCACATCATTCTGGCGTCAAGGAAAGGCTGTTGATGAAATGGGAGGGGGCAGTTAGCTGGGCAGCTATCAGTTAAGAAAAGAGAATCTCGAGAGTCACGAAATAAGACGAACAATTGCTTCCCAAATTAAGATGTCATTCTATTGCAACGATGAGCATGGTTCAAAAAGATTAATTGTACTTTTCAGCCCTCGTCCCACAAACCTAGATGAGAACGTGGTCAAACTCTTTTTACGAGATAATGGATACAAAAACCAAGACAAACAAGTATGGACAGAAATGCATGCCTCCCACAAAAAGCCAACCGTGTCCTCATACATCCACACGAACTTAAATGCCGTCCGGTTAAATTGTCTTACAAGAAGGGGAGGGGAGCGGAGTATCAAACACAATAGTCCGTCCACATGAAATACGCCCAAAAAATCCGGCTTGAATTAAAAGAGTTATGTCATATTTCCCTGAACTCCATCATCTGAGTAAGTGAACCGGTGTCTCTTTCACCCTGACGCCATGCTATAAAACTTCAAAAAACCAAAAAATCAAGGGCTGAAAGAGCAAATACAGAAATAATAACAGTCTAAATCGGCCAGTATCAAATTCAATCTCGCTACTTGGCGAAATACGGAAGTTCATGGCAGATCAAGGGAAAGAAGAGTAAAGAAGGCTCTTTAATAGCCGTAGAAAGGTAGGGTCGATGATACTGGGGATAACTAGCGCCACCTTGGCTTATTGTCGGCTGGCTCCTGCTTCTTACGGATTGAGAGCCGTGAAACTGAGGGAGTCGATCGCCCAGTGCTTGAGTCTCGTCTCTCCTTTGGCTGTAGCATGAGACTACTCCTCCGGCCGTTTGAGGCAAGAGAGCTAGCAGGGCGGTTGAGCTGGTCATGGGCCGCAGCCACCGAAACAGACCTTTGAGGGTGAAAGGAAGCTCGTCTCATTGATGCCTCAGTGGATGCTGTTAATGAACTTTGGCCCTGAGGGCGAGGCCTTGCTATTGCTGGCACTGTTGTCGTTGCAGGTGTCGTCGCTGGTGATGGTTGCTGTGCAGCATTCGCCGTAGAGGACGCAAGGCGTTCACGGAAAGACAAGCGAGAAGGGCCCGTTCGAATATGTGTGTCGCCAACTTTGGGAGACTCGGAAGTGGCTCTGGTAAGAGGGGTGCGGAGCTTGGGAAGTTTGGATGCTGCCGAGCCTGGTGTCAAGGAAGAGACAGACCTCTGTGACAGAGGAGTCCGCTTCGAGTATGGGCTCGGTGTCGTGAGAGTCAAAGGCTTGAAGTTGTGGCCAGTATCAATGCCAGATGCGTTGGTGGACGTATTCCAGCGTGGCCTGTGGTCCAGGCTTGATACGGATCGTGGGGTACCTCGTGCGTGCGTTGGGGTGGTTGTCGACGAACCGATTGTAGTAGGGAGGCGAGAAGGAGTAAGCCTACGGCCCGAGTTGATGGAAGAAGGGACTGACGACTGTCTCCGGTACGAAGGCGGGGTGCGAGTCTGCAAGTTGGCAGGGCGGGTTTTGCGCTGTTTTGCTGAACCATAAGGCTCAATGCCCAGGCTGGACATCACGATAGACGATGGTGGTGAGCTTCCAGGAGTCTCATGGCCGCTTCCAGCCGTGGTAGATCTGTCGTTGGAAACCATGCTGGAGATGGAGTCTCTGAGATGCTGACCCTTCCTATCGACGTGCAGTGTGTCTATGGTTGCATCCATATCGACCATTTGATCCTTGAGGTTGGTCCACTTGGATTCCAAGTCGGTCCGTAATCGCACAATCTCTCCATTGACAGTAAGGCGGTCCTTGACCCCCTTGTCTATGATGGATAATACTCGTTCGATAGCCGGACCATAGTGTGTCTTCTTGGCCTCATAGCTTTCCAATTTCTTGACCATGGCGGGAGGGTTCGATAGATGCAGGCCCGCGTCAATAGATTCCTGGAGCTTGGTGAGGGAACGCTCAACTGACTCATGCATCTTCTGAGCCTGTCTGCCGACGCCGCGAAATACTATTACCCAGCGATCCTCTCCAAGTTCCTTTCGCAAAGACTCGGCATCCCTCTCCAGCTTCTTGTAGCTTGCATCAAGCCCCGTGCGACGCATTTCCAACTCATCACAGGCGGTGGGGAATGAGTAATCGGCCCTTGCCTGGAACACTGACAGGCGCATCGGGAGAAAGTCCAACGAGGCTCTCAGCGGCTGCATTCGTGCGAACAAAGCGAGCAGACTTGAATCATCTTGAGATAGGGCTGGAGTCTCGGGGGAGCTGGGCGTTATCGGGAAGCCGGGGAAACTGACACGGTTCGGGGCCTGTAGGCGAGCAGCAGGCGCGTGATTGTCCTCTACAATGGTCTCAAGATCTCCGATATCAACACCGTCGCCGCCAGCAGCGGCAGCAATGCTTTTGTGGCGACGTTCCTCCATTTCGAAGACCAGACGGCTCAGCTCATCCATCTCACCTTGAATATCGCCCAGGACGTTGTTCCAGAGTTCTTCCCATTCCATGGCAATTTCGACCTGGCCACGGACATTTTGCAGAGTGTTCCGAATCTTGGTCCATTCAGTCATGATGCTCTCCATCTGGCAAACAGCCTTGTTCAAGTCATCGGTCGAAACGCTGGCAATGTCGGGTCGTGCTTGCAACTCTTCGATGGCTCCCACGTAAACATTGATCAACTCCTCGAATCGCAAAATGGCATTCTCGACCTCTGCGAGCCCCTCCCGGCCACCCGCGGCAGACCACTCTACATCGTCCTCGCTATCGAGACCTTCGATGACCTCAGAGGCCTTCTGAATCCAGCTCCGAATCTGCTCGGCTGCATTGATGAGGGCTGTGGAGGCAGCCTGCGCGGTGGGGATAGCTGAGACTTTGCTCGAGAGCGATTCAGCATCTGGGAGCTGCAAGGACGTCAACTGGGACAGCTGGTTGGCGAAGGAGACGCGAGAGAGGGTATAGATTGACATGGGACGGCTGTGAACCGGGGAGAAGTACGAGTCCAGGCGTGGGCCGTCATCGTTCAGGACTGCGCTGGCTGGAGGTGTATCTTTCGGGGGCGGAGGCGGAGGTGTTACGTTGTCAACAACCTCTGCCAGGGAGATTGAGTCGCGGGCAATGTGTTCACGGAGCGTATCCGGGTCGGCCTTGGTATTGTTGCCATTTGTGTGGTCGGGCAGACGGTACTTTTGCGTATCCATAACATCAAGCACGAGGTCGTTTGGAATAATTGTGTCAGGGAGCTGAGGGCCCAACTCGTCGACGTCGAGCTGAGCAGGCAGCTGTTTAGGAGACACGGTGGGGCCAGTGCCCTTCCACGGGCGACCGCGCCGTACGATGATTGATTCCAAGGAGTTGAGTTGATGCTTCTCGTCGAGCTCGCGTAATTGTTCTTCGTTGAGCCGGCCGATGGGATTGGGCTCAGTAGGTGCTGTGGTTGGCTGCGCGGTGCTGCTGGAGGCTCCGAACCCGAGTGCTTTGAGTCGAGCAGCTAGGCCGGGGGAGGTTCTCAGGACTGTGGCTGTGGGTGTGGCAGCGGTCGCGGGAGTGGATGGCGGTGGGTTTTGCTGGCGATGCTTTCGCGGTGCTAGACGGGACGAAGCTAGGTTAAATGCGTCACTAATGAGGGTGGAGGGCGCAGAAGGGGGCGATGGGTGCGCCGTCGATGTTGTTGTTGTTGACGTTGTCGAGGAGGCCGAGGAGGTCGAGGTCGTCGATGAGGAGGCTGGTGCAGCGAAGGGGAGGTGCGAGAGCTCACTGGCAACATCAGAGAAATTCAAGAAATTGGCTGGTCCATCATGCGTGTCTTCAGTCGGGGACTGGGATTGGGCCTGATAACGCGGGAGCGGGTGGAGGAGGTGTCCGGTTACTGGTGGTGAGAAGTGGAGCGACACGCTGGCAGCTGCAGTAGCGTTTGAGTGCAGGGCACCAGTGGGATCAGCAGAGGCCGTAGAGGCAGCCTCGGTGCTAGCAGCGGTGGTGCTGGGGACGAAGGCGCTGTCAGTGGTGTCAGGTGCCCTGTCCCAGTGCTGCGGCAGCGCAACGGAGGTCATTGGGAATGCTCGAGGATAGGGGACAAGAGGGAGGGTGGGCGGGCCAGACCCCAGCAGAGGCTGGCAGCGTCCTTGGAGGGAGCTGGTTGGTGTTTCAAGAAAATAGACCCCCTCCAAAAACCGGGTCGGAAATGACCAAGGACTTGCGAAGGAGTCGACGGCGAGCGGCTGCGGATAAAGAGTCGCTGCGAAGATGGCCGAGTAGAGAAGGTGAGGAGGGAACAAGCGCAGCGAAGGACAGAGGTGCAGACTTGAGGAGGTAAGAAAGATAAAGGGAAGAGAAAATATGGAGGCAGGGAGGATAAGTGTGTGCGTGTGCGTGTCTGGACCAAGCCACCAGCTGATGGAAGAAGCAATGCGCGCGACGTCAATCGGCGTTATAGACCATGCAGCGAGGTTTATGCGTCGCTGCTCCCGCCAAAACCAGCCTGACAGCCGGGCAGGATACCAAGAAGACGCCGCGAGAGATCAACAAGCCAGGCTGGCTGGGCCGGCTGCGCCTGTTCGACTGATAAACGCCAGGCTGTTTATGCGACCTGGCTGCCAAGTTCCAAAAATGCTATGCTGCTCCACTGGATCGACAAAGTGAAGTGTGGCAAATCCAACAATAGTAAAAGTAACCCAAGAAAGTAGAAAGAAAACGGGTAGGCTGACAGCCCGATGGCCAGCCAGCTCTTGGGTGGTAGTAGCGGAGGGCCCAA